ATAGTAACACCACTGTCCCAAGCTAAGGGGATGGTTGAGCGCTCACAAACATGTTTAACCCAGCCACATTCTGTATGTGCCTGTCCAAAGTCAGGAGCCTGTAGTTCGGTGGTTGTTGTTGGTTCGTGTCTGTTATACCTGTTATAAATTAGGCGGTTAGTTTTCACAATTGAATTGTTTCATATTTTTCAAGTCGGGGCCTTTTATAGCTGACTATACGGTATGGGTTTCTTTTTCATTGTTGAAGGCCGAACGGTTGCCTATAATTGCTTACATCCAATGGATAGTTGTCTCCTTGGCAATCGTACCACTTCTCCTTAGCTTTAAAATAGTATTAATTTTAACAAACTCATCATAGATACCAGGATTAAAATTAAATGTAATGTGGATACTCATCAAAGCAAGCAATTAGATTAATAATGTAGACCAACATTTTGTCCATACAAGACTCACCAATGAATCAAACAAATTCGGAGGCCGTATCAGTTATGAAATTTACGAGTACTAGTACTGTTAACCACAAAAACAAATGGAAGAGAACATATTAAAGTAAAATAATAAACGTATTCCATTTGTGTTTGTAAGAAGAAAAAAATGTGCATAAAGGCAGAGTCTCGTTAATATCTTACTCTAATAAAGCTTTAAATATATCTGGATTAATATCTGGTACAATGATGTCTCCTTTGTCAGGACAAGAACCTTCAAACATAGTATAAAAAAACTGGACTCCGACTTGCCAACATGTACTTGTGCGCTTTGATAATACTTTGATCTGTTCCAACACGGAACATTACGTCACACATAATTTCCTTCTCTAAAATATATATCATGCATTTTGATAGTGATTTTCCATCCTGCCAGTCTATTGTATCTCCAGGTATTGCCATCTAAGAAAAAAATGTATGCTATTACAAATACATGTATAACTAGCGTGTTTTGAAGGAAGGTGAATAATTAGCCATTATTTGGCACAAGAAATTGCAAAAGTAGTGCAATATGTTAATCCTTTTTAATTTATGTTAATTTATAGATAATGAATAGCGTAATATAATTTTGATATTTTATTGGTAAACTGTCAATACTGATGTCAAATTGGTGTCATAAACAGTTTGAATTCGACATATTTGACCATAGATATCCCTTTTACACATATACACAATATTTTGCAAAAAGGAGAACTTTTCTTCTTTTAATATCAAATATACAGGAAAAAAGGAAAAACTAAACAAAGGGATGAAGATAATACATAAAAACTTTTTTTCTTCAATAACATTAATCAACTGAAATTACTCAAGAATGTTCTCTGCCCTGTTTCAAAATAACAAGCTTTTTATAAAACTGTTATAAATTTAAATTAAAAAAAATAACTTAAAAGACATTTAAAAACAGATAAAATGAGATCCATGTCCTGGTCTTTGAGATATAATCAATCGAAAATTTGAAGGGAAATGATTCTCTAGATTTTCCATAATCTAACATTGGCATCTTTGTTCTCTCAAAAACAAGGAAAGAAATAACAAGGATTATATAAGATTTTCAAAAATAACTTTTTAAGCTATATGTTATAAAATTATGAAAAGGAAAGTAGGGATTAGCGGTCAAAATTTTATTATTGGCACTTCATGTATAAAACTAGAGGATTCCGAATATCTGGCAAAAAGTCAAAAACAAGAGTAGTGATCATCCTTAACACTGCATCTCACAGTCAAAGTAAACATGTTTTATTTAAATAAAACAGTCATTGAAACTGCCATCCAATATTTAATGTATTGACATATACATGTAGTCTTTAAATAAATTATTTTTAATTTTAGTTTCTTGTGTACAATTTGGAGTTTAGTATGGCGTTCAAATACTGAACTAGTATATATATTTGTTTAGGGGCCAGCTGAAGGACGCCTCCGGGTGCGGGAATTTCTCGCTGCATTGAAGACCTGTTGGTGACCTTCTGCTGTTGTCTGTTCTATGGTCGGGTTGTTGTCTCTTTGACACATTCCCCATTTCCATTCTCAATTTTAGTCATATTCTTTTCTTTAGTAGAATACTACGTACCTTGTGTTAAGTATTAATTTCAGCTGTTTTATGTAATAGGCAATTTTTTTTCTTGTAAATTGCACTTAAAAACTCATTTCTCGTTAATTTTACGATGAATTATGTGAATCTAACACATACTTTTGTTTGAATTGATGCATTTTATTATTATTAAATGTTGAAATTCATTCGTCGGTGAAAAAAATCTATTCAATTCAAATAAAGTATACTTTTGTTCTTTCAATGGAAAAAACTTAAATCCTAGCGTAGAACACTGACCAGAGTAAAGCAAGTTTTAAACAACTGTTGCCTCTCAAATAATACTAGTATAAGAACACTAGGAAACAGGTTAAAGGCATTATTTGTATTCTAATTGATAATCTTTTTATACAATTTCTCTCAACAAACTTTAATATAAATACACAGGCAAAATTTGCTCACGTGAATTTCATATGAATCTCACATGAAATTCACATGAACATTTCACGTGAGATTCACCTCAAACGAGCTTAAACATGCAATTCACGCGAATATTTTCAGGTGAATTGCACGTATACTTTAGAAAAAACAAAATTGGTATTTTTCTTGATTTCAATTAAATTTAAAAATGTAGATATTATTTCAAGTACTATATTATAAAAATTCACGTGAAAATAATTCATGTGATTTAACGTAAAATTCACGTGAGTTTCACATGAGATTAACGTGATACTCACATGAACTGATTTAACGTGAGTTTCACGTATAAGTTCGTTTGAGGTGAAATTCACGTAAATTTCACGTGAGATTCACATGAATTTAAATTCACGTGAAATTGATGTGAGCGAAATTTCCATGTGTACGTTGTTTGCAAAATTACAAGATCAACAGACCCATGCGCGATTAACCGAGCTACAGGGATGTACTAACGTTATATCCAGTCTCCAACCGGAGCATCTATTGATTATCTACGAACTTAACACTGGTTTTTGTCTTGTGAAACTAATAAACATTGCAATCTATAATGCAGATGTATTCATATGCATTACATATACAGTCAAACCTGTGTAAACCGGACCCTGAATAAACCGGTTTCCTGTCCATTCCGGCCGAAAATTAAAGTCCCATTTTTCCCCCTTCTAAGTCTTTGTTAAAATACCCTTTGTAAACCGGACCCTGTGTATTCCGAATTCCGGACTAATGATGCAGTCCCAATACTCTTAATTACATCAATTATTACCTGTCAAAACCGGTTTGTCTAATTAATTTTAAATGATAACAGTATTGATCGATATGCAATCAAAACATATTTGTGTATACAAGATGGCTTTTCAGGATAATCAATTAGCCAGGTGTTAAACCGTGAATTTACAATGGTACAGTAGTGAGCTGTTAATTAAACACTGTAAAAGTGTAAATTAAAACTAAAAGACACGCCGAATATATCTCGGATAGAACTTACGTTGTAACTAAGATCATTTTTTTTTTCAAATCGCGGAGTTGGAAAATTTACATCCTGGGTTCCCTGTTGTGAACCCCTAAAGGTATAGAACCACTAATTCAGGCCAGGTCAGAAAGAACATACAAGAAAGTAGTACATATTTTAAACAAAATAGTTCCTACGCATAGCTGTATCTTTGTCAAAAGCGGTATATTTGGGTAGTTTTGGTATCAAATGAAAGATTGAGGACTTGGGATCACTGTAGAACCCTTGTTGAAAGATTTATTTGAATAATAAAGAAGTAAATGAAATTTTGATAGGAGGGCACATTTGGCCTGTTGTTCAGATCAGAAGTTCCTGTTTTTGTACTATCAAACTTCCTGGAACCAGTACGCTCTAATATGCAATTAAAGGTATGTTGATTTTTTCAGCACAAGTCAGGATAAGGTACATTTTTGACATGAAATAACTGCCACTTTATTTGAACTTAAGACAAAGTAGCCATTAATGCTTGAAATTGCAGAATTTAACATAGAAAGCAATGGGGCTATGAATTAGTGGTTTTATACCTAAACCAATGACCCTGATAATGAAGAACACCTGGATGACAACAATCAATCAGTATTGTACACTGTACGACAATGTTTTGATCGTGATGAAATTTCGTTTAATAAAATTCTGGCTTTTTAATTGGCTATACCAACGTCGGAAATGAACGATGGAAGTAAAACGAAACTCTCGTGTCACAATTCAAACAACGCGGTGATTATGATGCAAATGAAAACAATGAACACAAAGTGAAAGTGAAACTGACATGTCGAATACTGATGCTACCGAGGTCTATTTCACATACTAGGATATGTAAAAAACGGTTAAAATATTATTTTTTTTTGAATTCGAGGAACAACCAGTTTCTTAAATGTATATAGCCAATGAATAAGACGATTCAAAACAACGATCATGCGAAGTTATTACGTTATTGCGTTTTGTATAAATGAGTTTATAGCTTACAATCAAACAGAACTTTTACATGCAATATATCGGACGTCACAAATCATTAACTTCCGGTCAAAACGGAAACCTGAATAAACCGGCCCACTGTCCAAACCGGCCCTTTTTCATAGTCCCGTAGCCGGCCGGTTTATACAGGTTTTACTGTACCTTTGAGTTTAACTACGACGACAAAAACAATGACAATCACTATGAAAATGAAAGCACGATAACCAGAAAAATGTCAACAAATCGAAAACGAAAGTAGATATTGGTTATTTGATTCCGATAGTGTTATTTAGAGCACAATGGAAGATGAATAACCATTTGAAACATCATATAAGGTAATACAGTACAAAATCATAGTCTACATGAAAATTATTGACACGCTAGTTGAAAACAAATTACAATAAACTCTACTCCACAACCGGTTTCTATAATTATTGAATGACCAATGACAATTCTCATTTTTCTTTTTACATACATTACAACCCTTTGGTATTTTGTGCTTCATGATTACCTATTGTCTTATGGTAAATAAATAGATTGAAAAATTAACCTTCTTTGCAGTCTACCTTTTATGAACGGTGAATACAGTTCAACTGATTGTTCTCATCACATGAGGAAAGTAAATGAATAAAGAGTTCTGTTATCTCCCTTATATCGCAAACCATAACACATCAAAATTATTGTCAGGTACGAAAAAGGGGGTGTCATTAGACTAAAACTTTAAACAACTTAAACTTGTCTTCTGATTTATATTTTATTTTCACATTGTTTAAAATATCTAGAACAGTTAAATAAAGTTGAATAGGATATTTTAAATAAAAAAAATCAATGTGAATGAAATCAATGATTACCTTTTGTCTCATGCTAAAATTGATAAAAAAGTTACCTTCTATGAATCTTAATTTCGAGACAAAAGAAGTTGATTTTTGTTCAAACGCTAAAATCCAAAGAGACAAATACTAAGGAGAATCGCGTGAACTCTAAAAAAGCCCACCTGGATCATTGACAGGGTGAAATAAAAAGGGCTGGTGGATTAGTCATATTAAATTTTCTAGAGATTTTAATGTGAAATGATTTATAAACAAAAAGAAAAATAAAAAGCAATTCAAACTAAATTCTTCGGCAATTTTACAGACTTCTCCTTCTGTAATGTAGAAAAGATCTATGCAAAACGAACGTGGGAGTTGATAAAAATAGTAAGTCGAAGATAGAAAACATCTTTGCAAGGAGAAATACAGAGAGAAAAGCCAAACAATACCCCAAAAGCATTTCATCAATTTTAATAGACCGACGTGAACCTTAGTAATACCCAAAAGTAAAAAATCACTCCATTTCCTTCTCCACTGGAGGAACATGTCTTCTACAATCGCGGTGATTAGTGATGTTCGGAGATTAATGTTGACATTCCTTAGACATCTCAAGACCTGTAACACGTAGACCATAAACCACGTGTAAACAATGTGATGATGCGAGACTACATGCTATGTAAAACATAAACCATTATAACATGGTGTATCTATAAAGGTAAATGGAAAAGAATGAATTTTATTTTTCGTTACACATGATGTAGTTTTTTTAAAATAAGCAGAACTTTCTTCTGTTTATATCATTAGTTAATTGTATTTTGTCCATCAACTCCTTCGGGACTGGACCTTTATTGATAATATACTAGCTGTCACGTAATATAAAAATAAGAAGATGTGGTATTATTGCCAATGAGACAATTCTCCACAAGAGAAAAAAATGACACAGAATTTTAACTACTATAGGTCACCGTACGGCCTTCAACAATGAGTAAAACCCACACCGCTTAGTAACAAGTAACAAAAACACAGAGTGTACGTGGCAGGTTACATATAGATCACCACAATAATAACCTACATTTCAGTAAGTGCTTGCATCTAATATATCTCAATGTACTTAACATTTGAAATACTACAGAACGTTCTGCTTCATATATGGACCTTGTTTTTTATATTAACGCAGATTGATGAGTAAACAAGTGTCTATGACAAACTTTCCATTTATCAACAGTAATATACCTGCTATCCAATCTTATGGCATGTAATATCTCAGTTCATTCGTGACGCCTGTGTATTTTTTTTTTGTATTATATTGACTTCATTAACATGGGTGTGTTCTTTACACCAAAATAGAATGCTCCAATAGTGTAACGAGGAAGAACGACTGAATTGTAATATTAGTTAAACGGTCCCAATCATGACGGTGTCGACCGGTAAGATGTGTCTGTGTCCCTCAACTCAATAACGATATGTTTTCGCGTTCTTAGATTTTTATATGCCTTATCTGTAAATGTGTTCCATTCCTTATTGAGACATTTTAACTGTATGACCATTGATGCATGTTTAGCAGGAAACGCTTACCCTGCTGACCCGCCTCGAGCTCTTGCGATTTCTTTAGGTTTGATTTTTTACTTTAAATTTTTACTATTTTCCAAATGGATTGATGAGATCGGGAGATACTAATGCATTGGTAATATACTTTTGCCTCTTGTAGTATTAACGGTACAAAATGTACGGCAGCGAATGTGCATTTACAAATGTCGCTGGATTGATGCATCACGCCAAAATATTTAAAATTCGAAACCTTAAACAAAGTTTGGAGAGCTGATCAATCCAAACAGTGCCAAAAGTGAGGGGGATCAATTTGTCCTGCATATTCATTCATTTTGGCTCTTTTTAATTCATGAAGTAAAAGTAGATTACGAATGTTAAACAGATAACATCGAGAATATAATTTGATATTTTAATGTTATACATAAAATATTATTCTTGAAATTTGGCCCTGTTCTACATCAATTTCACATTTTTATCGTAAAGTTTACAAAATGTATAATAGTTACATCTTACTTTAACAAACCTGTGAAGATCGCTGAATTTATAACTGGTAGAATGACTTCCCCCTTTTTGGACAAGAACCTTCAAACATTAAAAAGAAAAGGGGACTCCGACTACCCAGTATGTACCTGTCCGCTTTAATATTACTTTGATATTGTCCAACACGAAAAATAACAGAACACATGATTTTCCCTCTCTTCCATATATATGCATTCATGCATTCTGATAAATATTTGACATCCTAGCAGTCTACTATTTAAATATTTTTAGATATAGCCATCTCGTTAAAAAAGATGTTGACAAATACATGTACAATTTACGGGTATTGAAGGAAGACGTGTGATTGTCCATCATCTGGCTCCTGAAGTTGCAAAAAAGTTGAATAATTTTAAAACAGATCAACTAAAATGAATGCTTTAAACATCATTTCACAGTCAAATTAAAACAAGTTTTTTTCAATCATAACATTATCATTGAAACTGACGTCGGGAGACTAAGGCATACATTATTATATTCTCTACAATTCTTTTATAATTTTTCTTATTTAATATCTTGTCATAAGTATGATGAAAAGTGTTTTATGGTAACAATATATTGAATCAAATATCATAAATCTTTTCTGTTGCAGTAAAATTGATACTATTAATGTAATGTTTCAATTTCAATTTGAAATTAATCTTAATTTATTTTTGAATTTATACGGTGGTGAAAAAAAGAAATAAAGCAGCTGGCAAACTGATTAAAATTCTTATCAGGTGTCCACGCTTTGCTTACAAGGATTTGACAACACTCCGTTCTACTTTCTGCTCTAGTTTTTATTAGATCAGTCAATGAGATTCCTGAACATTGTGATGGTGGGTTTAATTAAAACTAGGGGATCACGTAAGGTCTTTTAAACAGAAAGTAGAACGAACCGTTGTCAGATCCTTGTAAGTGTAAGCAAAGTGTTGATACAGGACCTGTATTCTAATTACATTTTCCTGCTGCTGACCTAATATTATGAATATATACATCTGAAGAAAGCTCATACTCTGTTTAACGCTAAACCCATCACGTATCTACCTCGTTCCTTTGCTTTCTAAAGATCAACCAAACCCCAAAGATTAAATATTTGTAAAAGGTTATTTTATTGCAAAACGGGTATATCCCATAGCTATAAAAGTATATGTCTTGATAATATATCAGCATTTATTCAAATGAATATCGTTTCGGTAAGTGGAAAAATATATTTGTGATTTCTTGTCACTCATTTGTAAGTGTTTGCAGTTAATTTGAGAATAAGGATTTTACAAAAAGTAAAAGTTCTGCTTTGTATTTGAGTCCTTATCTGTGTTTTGATTTTAAGGTCGATGTCAAACGTGACGATTTAAGATTTCAAACGGTCAACTTTATGTTCGTCGTAAACATATCTCAAGTTATACGTTACGCCTCTGGATGTTCACATTACACGATGGTACATGACTGCAAAGCAGGAACCGCTTACACATGTCTTCAGTAATACTCGACGACAACATATTTGAAAATCAAACACCTTCGACAAAAGTAAAGCTGATAAAACCCAAAAAAGGACCAAAATTAAAGCTACAACCAGACGTGAAATTAGAGCTATGCATGACAGAGACAGATTGGAATTTATCTTACCTCCTGTACATTTCTAGGAATATGATTGGTTAAAAGCAACCGCGTGAATACCGTGTATATTCCATATTGGGTTAGTAGGGGGGGGGGGCTTATTTCAATACACGGTTAGTGGTTAGTAGTGGTGTTACGTCCTTTTATAAAAACAACACGGTGTTGAGGAAAAATCTTAGAGGTTTCAACAGACGAATAAATTGATGATGAACTATTGAAATCATTTCATAAAACACATTTAAAGCTAACAAGTTGTTATTGTTGGCATTTGTTTTTGTATAGACCAATGGAAGTATAGGTTCTTAATACTAACGGTATTGAAGACTTGATCACTTTGATAGGCCACTAGTCTAAATACCACATGTTAAGATAGTCGGTAAAACAAATTCGTTACATAGTGTGCTAGTGACATAATACGATAGATATGGGGTCAGTAAATTCCATATGGGGATTCGAGCTTCGCTTTTACCCCATATGAAATTTACTGACCCCATATATATCGTATTAGGTCACTAGCACACTATGTAACTAATAATATCCCAAATATGCATACATTTGGGGCAAGTAATATGAATGTTTAATTGTCAATATCGACATTGTAAATATAATTTGAAATTTTAATGTCATGCACTGAATTCTATTCCTGCAATTTGTCCTTCTTCTACATTTGTATCAGTAGTACATCTCGGTGAGTTTTCAAATTTTATAACTTTATCATCTATTCTGCATTCTGACTTACATTGTGTCCCAGAATATACGTGAAAATTTGTACTTCCTACCATGATAGTGAAATATTGATTCGCAATTATTTTAATAGGTTCTGATAAAAGAACAATCTGCATTTCACATCTCTTAGTACGGCTCTCATATTTTTGTGCATATAATTCATTTCGACTATGATCTAGAATTTCTATAAGAATTCCTCTGTCAGAGCACTCAAGCATATCAACAATAGGACCATATAAAATAACAGCTTATAACTCAATGTCTTTATTCAGTGTTATCTTCAAAGCATCCTTCTCCTTTTCATATAGATTCCATGGACGTGGTACACTGCTATGACGCAAAACATTGTAACATGCGCGGACTGACTCTGCAAAAAAATCATTTTGCTGACCATAATGGGAAGAAAACACACTAATCACTTCTTCCGAAGTCAGCAGGTGAGAATGAGCTATCTCTGTTGCAAAATATGCTTGGTCTACAAGAGGAAATCGGACAAGATACAGCAAGGAACCGGTTATTTCTCGCATGTTTTCACCAGATGCTGTTTTACTATTTGTCACACATTGGTGACTTGCCCACCTTATAAAAAATCGGCAAATATCCGTTTCGCTACAATATATTGAATCCAATCTCAGGATAGCTTCCATGCATTCTTTTGACATTTCAATAGCATCTGGCTCTAAAAGGCATTCAGTTGCATTTTTTTGAATATGCTCGAGACTCCTGATTTTGAGATGTTCAAGGTGAAAATGAGACGCCACATTGAATACCCTTGGAGCATTCGATGTTTCAACTGATGATAAGAGCAGACTCGTACATTCATCTTTCATTGTTGATAGCATATACTTTTCGGCAACATATAGTACTTCTTGAATGTTGCTGAGAGAAATATCCAGTACATCTGAATAAATATACCTGGTAAAGAAGAAACAATGTATTGCTTATTTATGAGAGCCTGTTTAAGATTTCCAGAATAGAAAACTATTGAACAGACCATAGAGAATAGAGAAAGTTTTTCGAAAAGAATGCCAGAAAAGAGAATAATAGGGGTGCTAAAATAAAGAGAAACAAATAATGACTCAAAGGAATAAAGGATACAGAAATGAAGACTCGCCAATTAGAACCTTATTTATATACATAAAATAATCCAAATGTGTCTATTTTTCGCCATGATGTTAAAATAAGAGAGTTTTCAGAGCATATTTAACTGTACTTTTTGTTTGTAGGGCTTTAGCTGCCGAGTTGTCAAAGTAGTTTTCCTACCGCAGGTTGGTGTTTCCCTCAGGGTATGCCAGCTTTCTTAAAAAGTTAGTTTTACCTGCCAGTATAATGCATATGATTTATCTGTCCTAAGTCTGAAACCTCGTTAGTGACTTTTGAAAACGGTTAATGTTTTTTCTAACATGTATAGGTTAGTTGGTATTGACCTAAAATGTATGCAGAGCTTTTGTAGTCACGAGATGATTTAACGCTTGGTTGAGACCGTAGGAAAGCTGGTCTATTGTTGCTGACCACGTATTGACCTTTATAAAATTTGTTTGTGCCGTTTGATTGCTGGCTCATTAATGTTTATCAAAATCTCCATTCATTCTCAATAATGTATAGAACTGAACTTTTTTAACTTTATTTATGTTTTCCCGGGAATAAATTGATTAATTTAATGGGAATGAGACTTCATATAAACAAACGTTTATCAAGAAAAAATAAGATATACAAGTATTATATATGCATAAATGTTCATATCTTACTTTAATAAAACTTTAAATGTTGCCGAATTGATATCTGATACCTTGATATCCCCCTTTTCGGGATAAGACCCTTCAAACATATCACAGAAAACTTGACTCCGACTTGCCAACATGTACTTGTTTGCTTTGAAAATACTTTCTTCTGTTCCAACACGGAAAGTGACATCATACATAATTTCCCTCTCTAACATGTATACCATGCATTCTGATAATGATTTCCCATCTCGCCAGTTTTCCATTCTCCTTTGTTCAGTCATCTAAAAAAGTTGCATGCATATTGATAATACAAATACTCGTCAAGTGGCACAGACACTTCCTACCCTTCCGGAGCACATGACTTTACCTCAGTTTTATGTAATTTTCGTTCCTGCCATTCAATCGTGAGTTTCTGTGTGGACTGTTGCCTAAATTTTCTTTGTTAGCGTTCGGCAAGAATGTTGTTAGAGTTTATTCGACTGATGGCTCCAGATTAGCACTTTGGTATCTTCTCCTTTTCTTTTATACAATACAAAAGAAGCAACAGATGCCAAGGGGATATTCGTTCATTGTTCAAAACATTTATTGTTATGAAAAACAAAAATTTGAAAAAGCGAGGCTCGTCAAGTTTTTCTTTTGTTTCGTAGCGTTTACGAACAATTATTTCATACACCTGCATTGAATTGTTTTGATCCTCATTTTATCTCTGACACTGAATCCTCAATGCTTGTTTTTATAAATCCAAGCAGTTGTCTATCGACATTTTTTAGACGTGGACTGCAAAAAGAACCCGGAAATGAAACGTAAAGTGTAATATTCATATAATACCGTTAATTCGTAATTGAAACAGAAATAAAGGAGTCGATACCCGTTCCCTTTATGTCAATTACACAGTTACCTAATCATAATTTCGTTTTATAATGTTTATAATGTGCATGATGTTTATTATGTTTATAATGTTTTTCTCTTGACTTCTCTTTTTCTTATTATCAAAACTTCACAGTTCATGTTATAAGGAAATTTTTTTTTCAAATTTGGTTGTGAAAGAAAAAAAGAGGTATAGATAAGATTAACAGCTGTTTATCAAACAGATGATTTATTTTTATTTTATGTTATAAATAAATTATGTTATAAGGACATCTTTGTTTTTTATCAACATTCGGCATGTTCGGGAGATAAATCTTTCTTCCTGTTTTCGCTTTCGTCACGATTTTTCGTAAATCATCATAAAACAGCATACGGTTTCCCACAAATCTGTATTTGATTACAACAAATATATTGATTGTTTTGTTAATTTCTAGAAATTAGAAAATGTTATAAAACATTGATTTTGATATGTCTCGTCTGTGCAAAAAGTATAAAAATAAGAATTTACCTAGAGGCAATAGAAGATCCTATTACGGTCAAGCGAGACTGAGCGTTCACTGTTGAAGTGTTCTAAATACTGAATGGTGCAACAGACTGAGTGTTTACACCTGAAATGTTATAAATGCTTACTGATTTGCCACTCTGAGTGTTCATTTCTAAAATGTGGTAAATTTTGAATGTTGTGGCACTCCCATTGTTAATTGCTTGATGTGATTAAAAAGCTAAATGCTAAATGATTGAGCATTATGAGAGTCACTGATGAAGTGTTTTAATGCTAGATGATAGGCCACTCTGAGTGTTCACTGCTGAAGTATTCTAAATACTAAATGATGGGCCACTTTGAGTGTTCATTGCAGAAATAATTAAATGATGAAGGAAAGTTAACTCTGACTTTTCACTATTGAAGTGTTCTAAACGCTACATGATAGGAAACTCTTAGTGTTAACTGCTAACGTATTATAAATACTAAATGACGGAGCACTCTGAATGTATGTTCCCGAAGTATTATCAATGCTTTATGATATGACAATGTTAGTATTCAGTGCTGAAGTGTTCTAAAAGCTAAATAATGGACACCGTGAGTGTTCATTGGTGAAGGGATCTAAATGAAAAATGATGTGGTCACTGTGAGTGTTCAATACTAAAACATACTTAATACAAATCAACACTCTGAGTGTTTATTGCTGAAATGGTATAAATGCGAAATGACGGGACACTCTAAATGTCTACTACCAAAATGTTCCGAATTCTTTACTGCTGACGTATTCCTAACGCTAAACGATGAGAAATTCCTACACCATATTAAATAATGTTACAGAAATGTGCAATTATCGAAACCGAGAATATATAACATAAATACACGATTTTATGAAACCCGAAATGATTAATGCTCCTACATTTTATTTAAAGTGTTTTTAGATTACGCCGTGAAAAGATCTTATCGTACAGGAAGTTGAAAAAGCTTTTCCGATTTTGATAAACTATTACCTTTTTATGTCGTTCTATTGCTGAAAAGAGAAATCTTCTGAGAAGTCAACTTACTCATGTTACTATTCACGTTAAATTCAATCATTACGACTTTCCTCGTTACATCAGAAAAGTCAATATAAATGTAGTTGTTTCCAATGAAGTGTAATTCTACCAAAACATAGTACATCACATCTGATTTCATGTTAATTACGTCGAAAAAAAAAGCCCTTTGAATATGACAGTTGTATTATTGAAGAACTGTTTTTCTGAGCAATAAACATATATCTTGGGCGTTTTGAGCACCATTCTTTTGCTATTTGGTGTAACAAAAAAAAGTAGTTTAGAAACCTGAAGTTACCTTGTTACTAAGCTTGTTTACAGGAGGGAAAGAGTGAAAAGTAGCTTAGTTTTTTCCGGTGATGGCTATTTTCTTATATGTAATAAAATGCTGTGCTAATATCTACGGTATTACTGGACATTATAAAACTGCACTTTAAAAAAAAATGCAATTTAACAAAGACTAATAAGGGAACAATGGTTGTATTATTCTTCGAAATAAAGCAATGAAATCATATTCATAAATTATCTAAGTTAGTACTAAAGTCTTCGACTTACCACATGAAAGGTAAGTACACTTCTACAAGACTACCGAGGCGTGTCAGGCTGTATACAAATGATGTTTTACTCTGCACAAATACATTTTTGTCAAGGTATCTATATCTAAGTTAAGTGTTTCAGCTAAATGTCAAAGGGAATTTTTTTTTCTAACAAGTGTACATTTATTAGATAAAGCACGGATGATATTTGATTTTTCGAAATTATTCACACTTTACAGGGAATCTATTGTTGTATTTGTTTTTGTTTGATAATAAAACGAATACTAGTATATTTTCAATGCTGTATAAAATAATAGTTTGAAACCATTATATTTTTTTATCGTCAAAATTATTGAAATTGGTGGGTTTTTTTTAATTTTGTTTAGTCATGATATGTGCATGATCAATATTCAATTTCAAATTATTACGGGTTCACAATCCTATATTGATTGATTCATTGTTTAAGAATTTTTGTCTTTCACCATTAATATAGTGATAAAATTGCATTGATATGACTTTTCCGAGCATTTATCATAAACGATTCGATTTGGACCTATAAACTATGGCCCTGAATAAACCCTCAACAGCGTTCCGACGATAAAATTACTTTTTGGGATTTTTCGTGAATCGTCTTTAAATTAGAGGCTCTAAACAGCATGTACCACTCTCCTAGGTTTATGTGCATCTTCAACAATGGACACTCTCCATCATTGTAGACTAGAATAGAGTTCATGACAAGCATCCCTTTTTTGTTGTTCTTGTTTTGCTGATCATTTTTTTCTCTACGGTTTCCCTCTTTCTTTAGTTTTTACCTTAAACACAAAAAAAGGAAAACTAAATTGTCATTCAAAGGCAGTCAATTCTATGAAGAGTCTACTAACGATTTCTGTACAAATTTTAGATTTTATCTTGCTGATTATTTTTGTTATTAAAAGTGTCTATCTCTTTAATATAGTTTTCAAGATAATAACAAAATCATAGAAAATATGTTAAAATCCTCATTAAAGAACAATAACTCCAACAAAAGGTCGACTGACGATTTGTTCAACTTTTCTTCCTGATCAATATTGCTATTTCCACTATCTTTCTATCCGTCTTAGTTTTTTAAATATAAAGTGATAATGCAAAAAGATGGTAACAATTTTCATTAAAGTGAAATAATTCCTACGTTATTGGCTGTGTTAACTTATTTGTAGATTTTGTCTTACTGATCAGTTTTGATTTTAAATGTTTTTCTGTATTAATCATAATTTTCATGATAAAAGGCAAAACTGCAATCACGGTAAAATTCATCATTAAAGGGCAATATTTCGTCGTTTGATAGTGTTGACGAACATATAAAGTAGGTCGATCTCACAATTCTAAACATTTCAGCCAATGTCAGATTATCTCTATCATTAGATAATAGACAAAACTTTCACTTGATCTCCCATTTTCTATTTTTTTGTCATGTCGGCCATGTTGAGCTAAAAAGCATACGATTTCCAACAAATTTGATTTGGTTACATAAAAATGTGTAATGCAAATATGTCACATCTGTTTGTCGCAAAGATTGATGACAAGTTAAAAGACCAAGCAAAACCCGCTGGTAAAAATCAAATACCTTCTGGATCTCATCCGTTAATGGCATATTAGCTGTCAAAATCAGGTTCACCGATTTAACTCAAATTTTCATATTTGATTGATATAATACATATATCCAAATTGTAAAAAGTCTAAAATACACAATTTACGATGCACGGAGTCGTTAATGTGTATCAGCATTTCGTGTGCATTTTAATATAAACGCCATCTAATTACCGACGTCGCCTCCGAAGACTGACGACGATCATATAAACCAATATAAACATAAATATAGAATTGCATGTTCTACGTCTGTTTGAATTCATGTTATAGGTTAAAAAAATATTAATCATTGTTTTTGTTTTTTTTCCTCTATAAGAATGCGAATTTGTCAATCGAATCAGTCAACCAAATGATTTACCCTTGATTCACTTTCAATGTTGGCATTCGTTTTCTTTTAATAGCTGAACACGCCTAGTACATGAGTAACCATCTCAAACGAAGGGTTTAATTGCAAGCGAATAATTCATCGGCGATGTTACAAAATGAAACCAAAACCAGCTGCTAAAAGCGAATTATCAATCCCTTATTTCACTTGCATCAGTGATTGAACAAATAAAAAAAATATCATGTTTTATTATTTTATTATATCTCGTCGCTAATGCCCCTTTAACATGTACCTTATACTAGTTCATTAAAGTCTTATCTGAATTTCGGATCATCAATGCTCTTCAAATTCGTTCTTTATTTCGCCTTTTTAACTTTTTGATTCGAGCGTCACTGATAAACGAAACGCGCTTCTGGCGTACAAAATTTCAATCCATGTATCTATGATGAGTATATTTCTCATTTTTCAGTATTGCATTTGAATATTGAAATGGTTTAAAGAACCTGTATATCATATATCGATCATATAAACCCCTAACATTTACAGATACTTATAACAACAGGTGATCTGCAAAAAAGGAGGACGTAACCAAAGGACAATCCAAAACCCATAGGTTGAGAAACACTGACAAAAAAAACACACACAAAGACAAACAAGTTCACACATCACCCTCACAGAAAACTGACGACAAAGCAACACTAACCCAACCGGCAAATAAGGGTTCTAAGATTCTCCTTGAAGGTAGGCATATTCGTGCATGAGTTGTTTGCCACTCAATAAGTATCTAATTAACATGTTTTTGTCCAGTCTTTTCTGCTATTCCCCCCTGCCTACTATAAAGAAACACGGAGGAAGCCCCATTTGGCGCACGATATGCTTGCTCTTCCGGCGCACCAGATATCAATCCCGATTTCTGGTGAGGTTCCTGTTGCTCATTTTTTAGTTTTCTATGTGTGCTGTCAGACTTCCATCATCTGAGAAGCACCAATTCCCTTTCTGGTTGTTATTGATAATTATTGTCTAAATAACAAACAAAAAAAACATCTGTCTTCTTAAACAGCCACAAATGTAAGTCCTTGTTTTACATACATCATTCTGAAATGATTCTAAAAACTAAATAATTAAAAAACAAACGCGACTTGTTAGGTTTATTGTTGTAAAGCCTATATCGAGCCATTAATTAAATGTAAGACATAGACTGCCAATACCTACATTGAGACTTAAGTTAAAAATATTAATGTTATGCATTGAATTCTATTCCTGCAATTTGACCTAGTTCTGTACTTGTAGAAGTGTTTCAATGTTGGGACTTCTGATAAGATACAGTTACATCATCTATTCTGCATTCTGGCTTGCATTTGTTCCCATAGTATGCTACAAACTTCACACTGTTTACCATAATGGTGAAACATTCATTTGAATTCAATGGAATAGGCTCTGACAAAACAACAGTCTGCACATCACACACATGAGTGCAACTCTCATATGTTTGGTTACATATTTCATTTCCATTATCATTTAAAATTTTTACAATAATTTCTCTGTCATTGCAAGATACATTGCCAACTGCACCATATAAGATAACAGACTTAAGCTCGATGTTCTTATTGACTGTTATCTGCAAAGCATCATTCTCCTTATTCCTGTATAACATCCATGAATTTGATAAATAACTATGCCTCAAAACCCTGTAACTTTTCTGGTAACATACTTTGCGGACTGACTCTGCGAAAAATTCATTTTTCTGACCATAATGGGAAGAAAATACACTAACTACCTCTTCCAAAGTCAGGAACCCAGAATGAATAATCTCGTTTGCAAAATATATTTTGTCAATAAGAGGAAACCTGACAAGATACAACAGGGAACCAGTTATTTTTCGCATGTTTTCACCTGACGGTGTGATCTTCTCTGCCTCACATTGACTACCTGCCCACTTTATAAGAAATTGGCAAATATCTGTTTCGGAACAATTTGCCGAATCTAATTGAAGGATAGATTCCATGCATTCTTTTGACATCTTAATAGCATTTGGCGCTTTTAGAAATTCTGCTGCATTGTACTGAATATGATAAAGCTGCTAATAATATTATTATTGTTTGACGTAAATTTTACATTGAGGTTCTGAAAAAAGAAATCACCAATTCACCAACATTCCAACTGACTCCATTTTCAGAAAACGACATCTGTTACAAACATAAACTTTTAGCTACCGCTTTACAAGCAGAACCAAATACAATGAAAGTCCCAACTATTTATTGGCTTCCGAAGCTACACAAAACACCTTACAAATATAGATTCATTTCGTCTTCAAGCCATTGTTCCACTACTAAATTGTCTATTCTTCTTACCAGTACACTTGGGACAATCAAAAACCTGATAATAAATTGTTCAAATAAGGCCTTCGAAAATAGTGGAATTAATTACTTTTGGAGTGTCAAGAACTCGTTGGAAGTACTTGATAAATGCATGCATATATTGGTGATTTTGAATCTGTTCAAAGTTTTGATTTTTCTACTCTATATACCACATTGCCTCACATTCTCATTAAGAAAAAATTCACACACCTAATTAAATGGGCAATTAAAAAGTCAGAATGTGAATATATATGTTCAAACTCTTTTAGGTCATTTTTTAGTAGCAATAAACAAAAAAACTATGTCAATTGGACATGCTTTGATACTATATATGCCCTTGAATTTTTACTAGATAACATTTTTGTTCGCTTTGGAGATTCCGTATATCGTCAGGTTATCGGAATTCCAATGGGGACTAACTGTGCACCACTTATTGCGGACCTTTTTTTTTGTATTGCTATGAGTTACAATTTATGACAAAAATCAGCAAAGACCCATCGAAACAACATCTGATACACAAATTTAATAATACTTTTAGATATTTGGATGATATTTTGGCTCTCAATAATGACGACTTCAGTATGTATACTAAAGAAATTTATCCTGTTGAACTTACTTTAAATAAAGCTAATACTAACAATGACCACTGCCCTTTCCTCGATCTTGATATCTATATCATTAACGGAAAGCTTAATACTAAAATATATGATAAAAGAGATGATTTTTCATTTCCTATCGTTAATTATCCATTTTTAGATGGTGACGTTCCCTTGTCACCACCTTACGGTGTTTATATATCTCAACTTGTACGATTCGCTCGTGTATGTAACAATGTTTTAGATTTTAACGAGGAAAATTTATGTATTACTGAAAAATTATTACACCAGGGTTTTCGATATCACAAACTAGTCAAAACATTTACTAAATTTTATCATCGGTATAAGGACATCATTCGTAAATATAGCTCAACATGCAGACTTCTTATACGTTCAGGTATTTCACATCCAATTTTTTATGGAAATATTCTTTATAAAGCACAAAAATGTCAGTATTCACCTCTGAAGCTAACAAAACCTTTAAATAGACTTATTAAGAAGGGATATAGTTACGATACTGTTGTCAGGTCATTAAAGATTGCATATTTTGGCGTTAATATTGATTCACTTATAGGGTCTTTGCATCGGCACTAAACACATTTATTTAAAAACCAGTTGTTGGCATGACACGGGTTATGTTCTTCTCATATATGTTATGATGGTATGATACTAAACCCCTAACGGGAAGGATTGTGCCTGATATTCATATGATGAAGACATAATCTTTCAATCAGTTTAATTGAAGTCTGGAGCTGGCATGTCAGTTAACTGCTAGTAGTCTGTTGTTATTTATGTATTATTGTCATTTTGTTTATTTTCTTTGGTTACATCTTCTGACATCGGACTCGGACTTCTCTTGAACTGAATTTTAATGTGCGTATTGTTATGCGTTTACTTTTCTACATTGGCTAGAGGTATAGGGGGAGGGTTGAGATCTCATAAACATGTTTAACCCCGCCGCATTTTTGCGCCTGTCCCAAGTCAGGAGCCTCTAGCCTTTGTCAGTCTTGTATTATTTTTAATTTTAGTTTCTTGTGTACAATTTGGAGTTTAGTATGGCGTTCATTATCACTTAACTAGTATATATATTTGTTTAGGGGCCAGCTGAAGGACGCCTCCGGGTGCGGGAATTTCTCGCTGCATTGAAGACCTGTTGGTGACCTTCTGCTGTTGTCTGTTCTATGGTCGGGTTGTTGTCTCTTTGACACATTCCCCATTTCCATTCTCAATTTTATTCTTGTTTCTGAGGTCCTCAAGGTGAAATTTAGACGCAATGTCAATTACAATTGAGGCATTTGATGTTTCAACTGATGATGAAAGCAGAACTGCACATTCATTTTGCATTGCTGATAGCATGTATTTTTCTGCAACGTAAAGTACTTCTTGAATATTGTCAAGAGAAAGATCCAGTACATCTGAATAAATATACCTGGTAAAAGAGATTAATTCTTTTTTTATATAAGCATATCAATTATCTAAAGTCTACATTAATATATGTATAATTGAGGTTAGTGTTTTTAGTCGTTGCAATTTTCAGATTTATCCACTGCGGTGTTACTGGTTCGAGTATTTGTTTGCAGCAAATTTGGTACTGCACAGTAGTATTTTAGACAGGTAAGTATGATATTGATGTGTACAGGTAAATAACAAGTACTGAACAGTCTGAACAGTCTGAACATAGACTGAACAGAGCTTACTGACTGCAAGCGAGTTGTCTGAAATAATGAATGAATCATAGATTATAAGTATGAAAATTGACTGAAATTATTTTAAAAAGATATCGTTCAGTCTTTTAAGAGCTATTCAGATCATAAAGACGGTTCAGATCTAAATAAGTTTACCTGTGTACTGATATGGGTGAAAATAAAGGTGATACTTTGACCTTAAAACAGCTCTGACACATGTTTAGGTGCCTGTCGAGACCCAGGAATGGCGTCACTATTTGTGTATTTTACAGTTGGGTAAATTTAGAGCTTGGCATATTGTAAGGACGCTTGTCTTTTGCTTAAGACCTAGATGTCTTTCGTTTTGTCCTTCTCAATTATGAATATCTCACATCTCCTTTTATTCATATTAAATCACAAATAGATAAACAAAGAATTTTTTTTTTTTGCATGAGTTAGGAAAATAAGAAATAATTTTTTTTCGAAAGATACGTACTATAGATAGTATAAAAATGAGAAAGGAATATTCTAAAATTAAAATATTATTTTGCAAGAAAATTAATTAAGTATGCGTAATAACAAATAATCCGCTTCGATCATATTTTTTATCGTCATCTAAACACAAGGTAAATCTTACTTTAGCAAGACTTTAAATGTACCCAAATTTACATCTGGTACAATGACTTCTCCCTTTTCCGGACATGCACCTTCAAACATAGTATAGAACACTGGACTCCGACTAGCCAACATGTACTTATGCACTTTAACAATACTTTGTTCTGCCCCAACTCGAAAAATCGCATCACACATAATTTCTTTCTTCAGCATATACATCATGCATTCTTTTAGGGATTTATTATCTTGCCAATCTCTTGAGTAACTGGTTTTGACTATCTACGAAGAAAGTGTTTGCATAGAAACAATTGTACAAAATTTATCACATCTACATGTGTATCTTAAATTGTTTTATTTGAGTACAAGAATAAAATGAAATTGAAATTGTTTGAAGCTGTATATTAGTTGGACGCAGACCGAGTAGAGGACAAAAAAAAAAGCTAGTCATTTGAATATCAAGTGTCCATTCACGACAGAAGTAGTATAAAATGATGTTTATAATGGATAGGTGTATAAGATCTAGTGACAATTTTCACCGGCACATTGGGGCATGATAATATGGTATCAATATCAACCTTTTTTTTACTTCTCTCCAAGCTGACCCGGTTTTTTACTTTTCAATATATTTGCAGTCCCTAGGAAGGCAAATTACCTTACTCGGACACGTCATTTCGAGTCGACCAGTCTTTACTCTTACACCTAAATACCGCGTGTTTAGCTGAGAAACGGTAAATTCCTTTTTTTTTAATCTTTGGTTGGACGGAGGTAGGGAATCGAACCTATTACCTTTAACTATGAAGGCAATCTCAACAATAAGACCCTAGCTAGACAGAATTACATTGTACAAAGAGGCTACATTTGTATTTTGTTGAATACAGGGAAGGGCGAAAGGACATTTATATAGGCGAAAAGCTACTCAATCCAAAACATCAATATTGAAAGATCTCGAATGACCGTAAAACACCATGGACCCCTTGATTTCATTTGTCGATTTGGAATATCAACGTGAAACGTTTGATCATTCATGGATCAAAAGTTCTTCGTTTCAGGGAAATCTTTTGGATAAATTTGTATCTATGCCTAGCCTAACTGTAAGACACATTTCATTGATATAAAACAGTCGTGAAGATTTGATTGTATTCTAATCTTATTGCGACTGTTTGTTTTTGATGTATTTTAATGAATATCAAAGTCAATTGAAAATGTTTATTTTGGCTTTTCCTAGTGTGATGTTTTCTCACGAATTACTATAGTGTTATCTTTGTCTTATCTAATTCAAAAGATATCATGTTCTTAAATATTATTTTTAATGTCAATTTATTGATAAAAATTTATAAACTACAGTATAAAGGGAGAATGGTGATTTATGTCAGGTATTTGCTATACCCTAGGGCTCTATCTTATTTCATTCATATTAAGCTCTTATAAGACTGGTCTTCAAGATTTCATTAAACCATTAAAAGTGGAAAAATAGCTGCACATTAATAATGTTACAAAACTCATAAATCGAAAATAAACTGACAACGCCATGGATAAAAAAGAAAGAGACAAACAGATAAACAATTGTACACAAAACACAACATAGAAAAATAAAGACTAAGCAACACAAACCCCACCAAAAACAGGGGGTGATCTCAGGTCCTCCGGAAAGGTAGGCAGATCATGCTCCACATGTGGCACCCGTCGAGTTGCTCATGTTAGTACAAACCCGGTAATAAGTCTAATTCGGTAGGTCACATTCGTGAAAACGGAACGGGATTGTAGTTACGACATAAGGAACATATCCGCTATCATCTGTGAAACGGATATTCCATAACGGTCAACCAACTCGTGATGGCGTCCGTAAAATTTACAAAGAAATGATTTCAACTTCACCATTTGGAACTCTTGGTTTAATAGCTTCCTTGTGAGCAGCAACACCTATCAAGGAAATCATGATAGAAAATACAAGCCCGGGAATATCGTATCAATTGGGAGATATATATTCTATATGCAGGCGCTGCTGGAATGTTGCTACATAGAAATGGACAGTTCACAATTGGGAAGCTGAAATCATCTCTTTTGTCGAAAAGTTTTGTTTTCAACCGAACTTCATTGTCAATTTCTAGATGTTAATCAAGATATGAGGCAGACTTAACTGTATCTGTTGTATCCTTTATCCTTAGTTCGATAGGATAGATGCGTCCAACATAGTCACTAAATTTTGAATTTATCAGTGAGAGAACAAAATATACTTCAACAATTCATGCATTCTTTTCTTTTTAATTATATAAAAAAAACATTAAAGAAGTATCAACCATCCCAAGCTGCCCCCGTTTCTTTGCCTTCCTTGAATATCCATTATTCGATGTAAAATTTGAATTTCCCTAAAAATAGCAAAAGATACCCGGCTGTGTTGTTCAAATTTTGATCTGAAGTGTTAACATTGTTTAATTGTTCAAGATAAACAAAAATTGATACCTACGAATAAAAGACTTCGAAAGTATTAGCTATAGTACTATTGTAGGACGTAGAAAAATCAAAAGTTTTGATATAACTACAATTATAAAGATTGTGATTGAAGATTTTGCAGTAGATCTTAAATAATTTTAACACTTCAGATCTGATTTATTCAAGTAACCTGATGGTCTTCTCTAAATTGAAAGTATATGCAATTCGAACTGAAATGATCTTTTTATGTATTTTGTTTCACCAAGTACCACTTAATATTAATCAACATGACTCTCTGTCCTGACTTTCACGACATAGTTCAGTATCCTTATTTTTCAAAAATAAAGATGTCAAATCCAGGCAATAGATTGAAAACAAAACAGATTCTAAACGTCCTATCCAGCAACCAAACCAGAAACAATATGCTTTACGTCACGATTAGTCTAACTACCAACCAAGAATTTCAAATAAGATGCACATATTTATTATCAAATACTAATAAAATGGATCTAAAACTAGCAAGATTCAGTTCGTGACAAACCAAAGAGCCTTTGAAATAAAATCATCAAATATAACAAGTTGATATTTTAGTACACCAGATTTGCTAAATCTGCTTGAAGCTGATCAGTGGAACTCGAATCAAAACAACTCGGAAACCCAGATTGATTACGATGTTGAAGAGCACTAAAAACCAAAAATTCCTAAATGTTTTGCTAAATTTGGCTGAGGCCATTTATTCCTAGTAGATGAAAAAGACTTATTATTTATGAACACTAGCTTTACGGTAAATTATCGCATCACGACAATCTTTCATGTGAGGACAGTGATACAATCATTGCAACAGCGTTTATTAACACATCTTTTTATCAGCTAACAAGGTGAATTTAAAAAAAAAGAATTGATATAATCCAAATGTGTATGCATGTGGGCGTCTACTAGAAGATAACATAATGAACGATTTATATGCAAGCGGAAATGATATAAAAATTAGATTTTTTAGCCAGATACTAGTGTATTTATAGAATAGAAATTATTTTACTATTTTTTTTTAACGCGATAGCTGTGACTTATACATCGAAGGGATTTGAAACTTCTAATAGTATTTACCAATAACAGATTTTTTCAGTGTCCCGGAATTGCTTATTTACTTGTGACTTTTGATCTACAGTACATAGAATTATTCGCTAAATTATGTCTCAAAGACGAATTATTAAGGATTATTAGGATGTAATTTTCTAAAATAACATACAAGAAATAGAATCTGTATACAAAATTGAAAGCAAGTGGGTCTATCTAACTTGTAAAATCAGAGCTATGTTGATCTGTAATAAATCAACAATTGGGTCACAATTATCAGTGATTCACCTATGATAACACACAATATTGCATAAGTTTAACTTGTTAATTACCTGGTTCTGAACTCATGCAAATAATTATGTATGTTAATACCCCATTGTATTGTCCTTTTAACAGTATATTTGCATATTTAGATACAAGAAATGTGTGATTTCATTTAAGAATGAACCCCCATTTTGTTTTTGTTAAAAAGAATAATTATCTAACATTCTTCAAAATAATACATTTTAATGCTTTTTTCTGGAAAGGTATCCAACAAAAGTCAATGGAACATATATTTTACTGCACCCTGTAAAAGTCCCCTTTCAACAAGATAGAAATTATTGATGATTAAATATCAGGAAAAAAAGAAAATGTAAAAAACATGCATTTGCTTAAATTAAAATATATGAAAAATTTGCTTTGAAAATGAAAAATTCTCCAACTTTTGACACCAAAATTACAAATTAATAATGAAATTACGGAGATACAAATTAGCTCCCATAACCCTTCAATTGTTTATCGTCAATGTCAATATGTATCAATATCAATTTGCAATCTTAAGAGGAGTTTGAAAAATTGTAAACCAATATTTGAAAACAAAAATGCCCCATAAAACAGCAATTTACAGGCAAACTTTGCGAGACACTGACATTGAATAAAAATAATTTAGTTGCATGTCCCTTTATCTACTAGCCCAAGGCGATAATACACGTAAGTAGAAAAAAGACCACCGACATTGTTATTAGTACATGCTTAGAGATAGAATTCCAACCTACCGTATGATTCCTGATTCTGATAACAAAAACAGTCTTTTCCGTGTGGGTATGTAGACCAAAAAAGAAGAAATGTTCCGTGTAGTTCATTTACCTTGAACGATGTGTAAAATCAACTGATTTCGATACACCTGGAAAGAAAATCAATAAAAAGTTCATTTGTCCCTTGTAATAAAGTAATGATTTACAAATAAACTGTAATTATAGTATTCTTTAAAAAGTATCAAAAACAGATATATAACTGTGGACAGGCATGGAGAGAGAACCTTTCTGATGAATAAAAATTCAACCAAAGTAAAAGGATTGACCCTCAATAATCCCGCCAGTGGCATTGAAATATAGGCTCTCTTTATCGTTTAAACTTTTGTTTTAACAAAATGTCAAGATAGGATTTAAAAAAAATCTAATAGGCATTTTCAGAACATCACTTACCGAGATCGTCCTGAATATGCATGAAATATTCAACACTAGGCTTAAGAAAACAGCAGTCAATAAACCAATAAATGGCCGAGAACTATTAAAAGAGCATTTATTCTGTATGTTAAAGACAAAATATCGTGGCTGTATTAATATTTTCACATGCATGAAAGATTTGTCAAAGTACTCTTTACATCTCGAACTTATATGGACTTAAATCAAGATAAAATATAATGTCTAACTTTGCAAATGTTTGTGAATACCGTTACATTTCCCGACCCTGTTTGAAATGCCTTTTAATCCCTCAAAATATATAAGGTTGAGTTGGAAATATCGTACAAAAGTTTTCGAGAAAGATACAATTTTCAAATTTACACTTCAAAATGGGTTAAAACTTTTTTCTTATCTACCCTCAAACGTTTGATGTTATAGTTACGATTCTTAAATGTACTTTAGATAGATGAAGTCTGATATACAAAATTGTGGAAAAGTCCCATGAGTTCATTTTAATGTTCTTGAAATAATAGCGTTTGACAACATATTATTTGGGGGGGGGGGGGGGGGGGGTCTCTGGAAATGTCATATCTATTTTATGGCGTGAATCTTAAATGGTTCGAGAAATAGATTAGACGTAAGAAGATTTCAACTTATCTTATCAAAAAGGTATTTGTGATGCGTTTTTCTCAGCAATTATTACAAAATGTACCATAAG